AATCCCCTTAAAGTTGAACTGAGAAAGAAACCATGAAATAAGGCTTCTCTTAGAGAAATTTCGCATTGTTTGTGTTGTTTTGTTGAAGTACACAGAAGCAATGCCGGCAAATAAAGAGTTTATTAAAATATAACTTGAGGAAATAACATCTCGCACAAAATACATCTTAATCAGTCATCATAGCTTATGATGTGACTGAACGAGCCACCTCTCAGGCAGCTGCTTCAACTACTATAATCCCCTATCGGGCAGTCGTTACACTAACTTACGCAACTCGCGCAACTTACCTGAGAGAGAGAGGAAAAATGGGGTTTTTGTTCGCATATAAATAACAGTTTGTTTAGCAATTGATGAAAGTATTATCTCTCTTAATTGTTTAAACAGTATAATATAAAGCTGGTTAATAACAATTGAACCCTCGTAAGAACTTTCAAGTTATGCATACATAGCATACGTATTTTTATAACTAATCAAACTTGTTCTAATATAATAAAGTAAAGCATTTCCGCAACAGTCCGTTTCAAGTCAGAGGGCTCCACAATTTCGTGACCGACAGCATGATTGTGGCAATATGGTCAGCACTGCGAACAGGCCGCCTTTATTTTCCAGACAAGATGATACCCTTCGATCTGAAGCTGGGTGGGCTTCAAGCCACTACTGGGGATCGAGCCCCAGTTCTTCACAATGACAGTTCAATGCCTTAACCGCCGAGTAATGAATTTCAGTTGAAATGCATTTCAAATTAATATGTCTTCACAGCTAATAAATTCTCTTTCAATGCAAAATAATTAAAGACAATATTTGATCGTTTCATTCATTCACTGATTGTTTTTAATTCATTGTTTGTTTTCATTAATTGTTTTCAATTCACTTCATTAAAAATATCACTCAAGCAGTGAAGTTGTATAAGTTGTAAAATAGAAACAAAACGGAGGTAGGATGGTCAAAAAGAATGCAATTTTTTCCTTTATGACTAAAAAAGATAATCCAATTACATTTCAATCAAAATAAAGTTAGAGTTAGATAAAATAAACGAATTGATCGAGTTTAGAATGGGCACAGATGAAAATTTAATAAGAAGCATACATTTTTTTTATCAATGAATGTTAAACAAGTGTTAACACTAAGCTTTAATTTTATTTAAATTTAAAAGAAAATGATTGACCACTAGATGGCAGTAGTAATTATGTGTATACAGAGATGAATTTGTAACAGAGAGTGCGCCAAGTAAGCTTGATGTGCAGAACGATGTAACAACTTAATGTCTGTAAATATAGTTCTTGTAAAAAAATTATTGATATGTTATAAATTTAAAACTCCTACTTCCTCCTCCGCCCAACCGAGCTACTCGACACCTGACATAATGGTATAGTTACAACAATTAAGAAGTGGGATTACAACGATTCAGAACCATGATTCCCACGCAACGCTATCAGGTAGGCGATTTTTAATTATTCCGTTTTAAGTACTCAAATGTATGGTAACGTATAAAAAACGTATTGTTAAGTAGTAAACGATTTTGAGAATTATAAGTATAAAGTATTTTCTTAATTTCGTTTTGGGTGAAAGTACTGAAATTGATAAAGTATTTCTATGTGTTAAGTATTTAAGTATTATAATTTACAAAGTATGGCCTTTTGGGGGAAGGCAAAAAAAGTAGATTTAATAGAATTAGCACCAGAGTTAGGTCTTTCGGTACCAGAAGATGCTAAAATAATTGATTTAAAACGTATTATAACCGAATCGGAATCATACGATGAAGAGTTTAGCAAGAGTTTACTAAGTAGAATTTTGGAAGATAGAGTAGCATCAGAAATAGCAGCCCAAAACATTGGCAGACCGCGAGTATGATCTTGAACGTCTACGCATAGAAAGTAGGGCTCAAAACGTAAACATTTCGGATTTAAGTAGTAACGAGGAAAGTAAAAACGTACACGCTGATTTTAGAAAGTTAATGCACAAATATAAGATCAAAGATGGAGAAATAAATTTTTATTTAGTTTTATTTGAACGGCAGGCGCGATGTATTGGTTTAAGTGAAGAGTATTGGGTATCACAATTATTGGGACTACTCCCTTATGAAATTGCGCAACTAATCGCGCTTGAAAACGAAGATAATGCAAATAATTATAAGTATGTGAAATCATTATTGCTTAAGAGATGCAAGTTAAGCGTTGATAAGTTTAGATTTAAATTTTTAAATCATGTTGAAAATCCAGAAAGTACACGGAAGGTGTAACGAGCCCTCATCCCCAGATGTCATCCCAGAAAACTACCCCCAGATGGCGCCACTGGCGCAACAGAAATAATAACTTTCATTTTTCAGAAACTTAAAAACAGTAGAAGTAGATGTAATGTAACTAGAGACGCGCCATGCAGCGCTAATATCTAACTCCATGTTTTCATCACTTTATAATCATCATTTACCATTTCATGTAAATTCATCTTCATCTATTTGTAATTAAAACCAATAAAGGGTTACGAATCATCAAATTGGCGGTCTAAAGGTAAGTGGAACATTTTCTACAATTCATATTGAAAACAGGAATTCATTTTAGATTGAACAGAAGGATTATTCATTCGAATTACAAAACTATTTTAAAGAATCGATAACGGGACTCGAAATATCAGACTTTAATAGTTTAAAGAATTTAATTATCACTGAACAATTGAAAAAACAAAGAAATTCAACAACGCGGGAACTTTTTGTGGATGAATGGCTTAAATTTACTAAACCAGATCAATTAGCAGATAAATTAGATAATTATGATAATGTGTGATCTATTAACAGTAATAAATTAAGAAACTCATCAAATTTTTATTCTCGTGGTGATAAATTTCAGACGGAAAGGAAATGAATTCCGTTTAGTGAAAATAAAAGTATAAATCGAAAAAAGTATGTAAGCTCGGATATTCGAAATGAAAAAGGGGAATATAAATGTTTCAACTGTAATGATTATGGCCATATATCTCGGGATTGCCCAGCGCCTAAAACTATTGCTTACTGTAAGAAATGTAAAAAGCAAGGTCATTTCTCTTCGAACGTGTAAATTTGAAACCGAACAAAAGCGAGAAGGGAAAAATTTATCCGTTATTCAAAACAACTCGGATTCAAGCGCATCATTGGCGCCTACGAATTTTTTGTTTTTGAAAGATGCTTATATTTATGGTAATAAGATGATGACTTTAATTGATACAGGAAGTAGTTGTCTTTTGAAAGAAAGTATCGCTTTAAAAATGAATCTGGACTAGCAACCAGATAGCAGTGACTTATTTGGTTTCGGTAATCAAAATAATCTAGTTACGAAAGCTATAGGTAAAGCTGTAATAAATATTCGGTTGGATGACGTAGTAGGAAAATGTATTACTTTATTAATTGTTAAGGATGATTCACAACCATGCGATTTAATTTTAGGAAGAACATGGCTAGACTTACCTTACATTGCTTTTGCGCGTGGAGGTAATTTGAAATTTGGATACGCAAATAATGACGTTTTTTCTGAAATTCAAGTAGATGTGAGTAAAAATGCGGTTAAATTGAAATTTATAAACGAAGCGGAAATCGAAAGTAAATCAATTAATTTAATTAGGGCAAAAGTCGACGAAAGCGAAAACTCGACACAAATTAATGCAAAATGGACATTAAAGAAATAGAGGGCAGTAACCCGATTTTTCAAAAATCATATAAAACCAATTTCGAAGAAAGAAAACAAATGAAAGAAATAGTCTCTGAATGGAAAAAGTATGGAATAGTTTCAGATACAAGATCTCCATATGCCAGTCCTGTATTATTAGTAAAGAAGAAAACAGGAGAACAACGATTAGTTATAGATTTTTGGAAATTGAACTCTCAGATTGTTAAGGATAAATTTCCTTTACCCAAAATTGATGACATTTTAGAATGTCTTGGAGGGAGCCAGTTTTGCACGACTTTAGATTTAGCTAGTGGATATCTACAATTGCTATTAACAGAACAAGCAAAATTGAAATCGGCTTTCATAACTCCAGATGATACTGGTCAATTTGAGAGAATGATTTTCGGATTAGCAAGTTTCGGATTAGTTCCAAAGACTAATGAATCTTGTTTTAGGCCCATTGTTCAATAAAAAAGTACTCTGTTACTTAGATGATATCTTGATTCCAGCTAAAACATGGACTGAAATGATACAGAAACTTACTGAAGTATTTGAGTGCTTAAGAAGAGCCAATTTGACATTAAACCTACCAAAATGTGAATTTGGAAAGTTACAGACTGAATTTCTTGGTTTTATACTTAGTAGAGATGGTTTGAAACCTGGAGCACGTAAAGTAGCAGCTATTGAAAAATTTCCTGTTCCAAAAAATACGCATGACATCCAAAGATTTTTAGGACTTACTAGTTTCTTTAAAAGATTTGTTCCAAAGTATTCTCTCAAAGCAGCACTATCTGAACTCACAAAAAAGGATACAAAGTTTGTTTGGACAAAAGAGCAAAGCGAGGCTTTCGAAGAACTAAAAAGCAATCTTATTAAAGCGCCTATTCTAGCTCATTATGATTCACAAAGTGAAACTGAGGTACATTGCGACGCAAGTTAAATTGGATTGGCCGGAATATTGCTTCAACGAGGCAGTAAAAAGAATTGGAGAATGGTGTATTGTGTTAGCAAGAAAACTACCGAAATTGAACAAAAATACCTTTCAAGTAAATTAGAGTTGATGTCAATTGTGTGGACATTAGACAATTTTAGATAGGAATTAGACAATTTCTGATAGGAATAAAGTTTACAATCGTTACAGACTGTCAAGCGATAGTGTATTTAAACGCTAAAATGTCATCAAATCCTCAAATGGCAAGATGGTTTAACCTAATGCAAGAATATGATTTTGAGATTCGACACAGATCAGGTGAACGAATGAAGCACGTGGATGCGCTAGGCGGAGCAGCTGCTGAAGAGCCAGAAGACACTTTGAACACTATTATTGAGAGAAAATTTGAAGTTTGAGTTACCTTGACAATAGATGAACAAGTTTTGATGATGCAAAATTCAGACAATGAACTACGTAAATTAATAGAGATATTCAAGAAAAATAATGATGATAGATCAGAAGCTGAAAAAAGAATGATCGAAGGATATGTTTTCAAGCAGAATAAGGCTTATAGAAGACACAAGGTTAAAGATAAAGAAATTTTATTATATGTAATACCTAAGGCAATGAGGAAAAGTATAGTAGTTAGATTCCACGATCTCATGGAACATTTTTCAGTTGAAAGCACTGTTAGTCAAATAAAAGAATTATATTGGTTTGCCTCAATGAAGCGTAACGTAAGAAGACATATTTCGATGTGTTTTGAGTGTTTGCTGAATAAAGTAACAGGAGGAAAACAGCAGGGATTTTTGAACCCGATTGCACCAGGAAAACGTCCATTCTCTATCATTCACGTTCATCATTTAGGTCCTTTTGTTAAAACTTGTAGAGGAAATCAAGAATTACTCGTAATAATAGATAATCTAAGCAGATTTGTCAGAGTTACACCAGTGAGAAGTACTTCTTCTCAAAATGTGCTGAAAGCTTTACAGAATTTCATCAACGAATTTGATTACACGATAGGTTGATAAGTGATCGAGGGTCATATTTTACTTCGCATCAATTTGAGGAGTTTTATGCCACGAATGGAATTAAGCATACTCTGAACTCTACAAAGCATCCTCAAGGGAACGGTATGGTTGAACGAAGTCACAGAACTCTACTATCTACGATTTCTACAAGTATGGAAGATCCAAAACACAAAGATTGGGACTTGAAAGTTAAGGAGGCTGAACGTAATTTAAATAATGCAGTTAATAAAACAACCAACAAAACTCCATTTCAAATGCTACATGGTTACTCACCTAGATTTTATGATGGACTTATAAGTAAATTGGCGGATGTCGAAACTAAAGAATATAAGGATTCTGAAGAAGTGCGTAAAGAAGCGATTCTGAAAATAGAAGAAAAGCAGAAAAAAATGAAATCATGTTATGACATAAAAATATGCAAAACAATCAACTACGTTAAAGGTGAAATAGTGGTCACGAGGAAAACACCTCAAGCAACAGGCCAACCTTTGAAAACTCAGCCAAAATACAGGGGGCCATTTTATTTTATTTTATAACCGTCGTTGAACAGCCGACCCAATTTCATGGGTTTACGACTACTTACGTTCAACTCCGTAGCCTTGTAATTTTGAACCAATCCAGAAGACAAGGAAACTCCTGGATCAGTACCCCCAGAGGTTTGATTTGTTGTGGGAACATGGAGGACTTTGAGACTCGACAGATTTAACGTGCATCAGTCACCATTTACTACACGGGGAGTCTTCGGCCGGCGAGGATCGAACCCACGACCTCTTGGATATGGGCCCAACGCCCTACCGACCAAGCTATCCCGGCCTTACAGGGGGCCATTGATAATAACACAAGTATTACCAGGTGACACTTACAGAGTAACTCAGTTCCAAGAAAAGGAAAAGGGACACTTTTTCATAACTACCGCCCATGTGAGTCAATTAAAACCTTGGAGAATTCATCCAGACTCTAGTGATTCCAGTGACACTGAATAAGAGTTTTGAACTTTATGAACTTCCATTTAACTGAACTTTTATTATACTAAATTGAACTTTTAAAAAAAAATCTCAACTTTTTACAGTATTTTCCTTGAAATGTAGTGTATAATCTATCACTGAGTACTAATAATTTCTCTTTATTTTTATAAGTAGGTTAGCAAAAGTAAGAAAGTTGTTTAATTTCTAAAAATTTGTAAACTGTGAAGTTTAAGTAGTTAGAAGAATTGTAAGTATGTTTATTTTCATCTTTTGTCTTATTTTGAAATGACTTGCATGTATTGTGTTGTGTTTAGTTTATTAATATTGTTTGTATTAATCAGTAGATTAATCGGTCAGTCTGGCCGAGCGTTAACACTAAGCTTTAATTTGATTTAAATTTAAAAGAAAATGATGAGCCACTAGATGGCAGTAGTAATTATGTGTATACAGAGATGAATTTGTAACAGAGATCGTAGGAGTGCGCGCCAAGTAAGCTTGATGTGCAGAACGATGTAACAACTTAATGTATGTAAATATAGTTCTTGTAAATAAATAATTAATATGTTATAAATTTAAAACTCCTACTTCCTCCTCCCCCCAACAGAGCTACTCGACACCTGACATAATGGTATAGTTACAACACAAGTATGTAATAAAAATTATTGCTTCTAAATTGAAATATCATTTCTCTTTTCGGTAGTCAACTTTCATTCGTATTGTAAATCATTCGTATATTCTACACTGTATAAACTTTAGTGTAATATCTCTCCGAATATGGTGTAGAATAACAAACACCAAATCGAGTCTTTATATACAATTTAAAGGGTGTAATTTAAATCTAAAAGTGCAAAAATCTTACGCGCATTCACTCAATACTTAATTTTTTTTATTGGAAATGCATTTCTGCGAACTTCAATTGTTGTTGGCGTATACTTGTTAAGGCAGAGGGGTGAGATTGTTCTTGTTTTTCCAGTGGCGCCATCTATGGCCAAGAATTCGACTTCTGCCACACCCACACGTCACACCCGTTTATAGGGTGTGACCCATTCATTCATCCATTCATTCATCCACAGATCGTAATTTTGACCTGAATCAGCGAACGATCTATCTCCAATTCAGTACCCCCAGAGGTATTGATTTGTTATGGGAACATGGAGGACTTTGCAACTCGACAGATTTAACGCGCATCAGTCACCATTTTACTACACGGGGAGTCTTCGGCCGGCGATTTTCGAACCCACGAACTCTCGGACTTGGGCCCAACGCCCTAACGACCAGGTTATCCCGGATGACTTCAATTAAATAATTTTATAATGAATAATTTCCATCCGCTTCTGTTTCGTTAAGTCTGGTTCGATTTTAAGAATAAGCGTATATATGTATCCTAAATTAATGATTCTTACTTTATATTGTATTGTAAAAATAGCTTCAATAATTTATACGAGTATCTTATATAACTGTAATTATAAATTTCAGTATTACTGAAAATGAAAACTTATACTGTATTCCACGTAGTGTAAAAATTTTTTTGGGGTGTACAAATAAGGTCCCGCCGTTTTCTATCAAAAATTAGCAGTTTATTATCTTACATCTCCTTACATTATCTTTTATTCAAAGTATTCTCCAATACTAGACACTACTTTTTCCAATCTTTCTGGGAGCATTCGGATACCACGTCGGAATAACTCTTCATCTTTTGAGAATATCCACGAATCGACTCATTCCTTTGTTTCTGCAAATGATGTAAATTTCTGCTCAGACATAACAAGTGCCATCGACCGTAATATGAGATAATCTGAAGGAACTGTTGAATAAAATGATTTCTGAAGCTTCATTTTTACAACCAGGAAGTGTGGTTTTTGAGAACTGAAACTCTCATGTCATATGACTCTCATCGCATGTATCTTTTCAAGATCTGAATATTAATTGAATAATGTTATATTTTATGTTTTATTATTCTTCGATTTTCAGATTTCACTTTCTCTTTGTGTATCTTCAACTGAGGGAGAGGTCTTATCCTTCCTCATTGCTTATAAAAATGTTTTGTCAAATGCATCATTAAATTTCTATATTGCTTAAAAAGATGCTTCTTCAACGATGCTAGTTTAACTCCCTCATTCACAAATTAACCAATTTCTGAGAACTTATTTTCAGCCATTCATCGTACTCATCACCTTTAAAGGTAGGATTTACTACCTTTTTCCGATCAAGATTATGAAACTGAGAGTATAAAATAAATATAGTGTGCAAAAATTATAAATATATTATTTGAAAAACAATATAAGCTATTTCAAGCTTTATCGAGCTTAAATAAAAATAATACAATAAGAATGCATGCATTTATGTTGCACGTACTATATATTATATATTACAATATATTGATTATAGCACACTTATTAAATAGCAATATATAAGACTATAACACTATATATTTGCTAAGAAATATAAATATAAAAATAAATACATAAAAATGAAAGTCTAGTGTAATGAATAAAAGTGTTTACAATTTCTAAATTAGTGAATGAGTGAGTATATAAAATAGAAGTATTGGTTGAAATTCTAAACATAAACAATTATTATTCTATAAAATTAAAAATGGCTTCATCAAGAGACTCTCAATTGATAGAAAAACTAAATCAACACAATTGTAGTCATTGGAGTTTTAAAATGTCAATGCTACTCATTAAAGAGGAATTGTATGAAATTGTAACAGATACATCTCCAAATCCCATTACAGCAGATAGGAGTAAAAGAGATAAAAAAAAAAAGCCCGTGCACTAATAAACTTGTGCATTGATGATAATCAAATAGTTCCCGCCTCGGAAAAAGAAACTGCTAAAGAAACATGGGATGTATTAAAATTAATGCACGAAAGAAGCAACTTATCTAGCAAATTATTTTTGTTAAAAAAAACCTTACAATACGAAATTAGAGGGAAGGGGAAATATGATAACTCAAATCACTAAAATTTTAGAGATAGTAAACAAACTTAAAGCAATAGAGGAAAAAATTAGCGATACTCATTTATCAGAGATTTTACTATGCTCAGTACCGCAAAGCTATGACACAATCATTAAGCTAGGCCAGAAACAGAATTAAATTCCGAGTTTATGAGAAGTAAGCTAGTTGACGAATATAATAGAAGAATCGAAAATAACTACGCATCGGAAAATCCAAACAAAGCATTTCAAATCAACAGATAATACAATAATAATTATAAGAGGGAAAGTAATAAATATTGCACACATTGAAAGCTTTGAAATCACAATAATGCTGATTGTTGGCATTTGAAAAAACTCTTAGTTACCAAAAGTCAAAAAACAACACCCAAACAAAAGAAACTCAACCTCCTTATGTAAAAATACTAGAGGTGAGAACAACTACAAGGGCAATACGCAGAATGGAGATGAAGTAGAAAATAAATTGAGCAATTTAACTTTCTTAACTTCGAAATCAGATAAAAAAAAACTGGATCATTGACTCTGGTAGTTCATCACATATTTCTAACAATCAGGAATCATTTATTAAAATAACTGACACAAACAAAAGTGAAGTAACCATAGCAAATGGGAACACACTGATGTCATACGGCTCGGGAGAAGTTGAAACGATCACTAAGACATCAAGCCATAAAATAAATAAAGTAACATTGAAAAATGTTCTCTATGTACCAGACATTGAAACTAATCTTCAGTCAGTTACCAAAGCAACTGAAAACGAATGCACTGTAACATTTAGCGAAAACAAATGCATGATAATTCATGATCAGGAAGTTTACTTAGAGGGAATAAAAATAAATAATTTGTATGAAGTGAAATTAAATAACAAAACAACTCAAAAGTATGATAAATTTACCAGCACTTGCAATAACATAAATAGTACAGAAATTTGGCACAGAAGACTAGGGCACAAGAATTATAATTCGATCGAAAAATTGAAATTAAATGATTTAGCTACCGGAATTGACTTAAGTCGACACAAACACTCTAATTTATGTGAAAATTGCGTACAAAGTAAACTCACAGACAATCC